AAGTGAGAGAAGTGGATTTTGGGGAAGATGTATAAAGCATTATTTGGGAAAATGTTTTATAACACATTTACCAGGTGAACCCTTTATTTATAATATGACATTTGTGAAAACCAGTGAATTTTCAGCAAATGTCACTTTTACTGTGAATTTTAGAATCAACTTTAGACGAAGCGTATAATGGCTTTGTATACATTCTTATTTATAAGGTAAGAACTAAAATAATTATATTTTTAAAAAAATTGTAGTCATGGAAATATGAAATATTAAATAAATATGAAATACTGCATCAAATATGTTGTCTTTAAAGTATAAATTCACCTTTCAATACAAGTTACAGATTACACCCATATTCAAGACTAAATTAACAGCGCCCCCAACCCCCATAATCCACCAATTTAACAGTGGGCGGGAGATCCTCTCCCCACACCTGCTGTCAAAATTTATAAAGAACGTAGCTGGGTGGGGAGAGTTCGGTGAACGAAGGGCACTGGTGAATGCTCTCATAGTTCATTGATCTTCTTGGACTTCAGTAACTGCCTCTCCATACAGGAGGTACAGGCAGACAGCTACACTGACAGTCTACAGGAGCCTGACACTGCACACGTAATCTGCTGATTGCTGGTGCAATGTTTTACAGACTCCTAATAAAAAAAGTATAAAATGCACACTTTTAACCTACAGGAAGTAAGCTTTATTATAAGCTTACCTGTAGGTTAAAATAAGAGTTTACTACTACTTTAAATCAAAATGCAAAAGTTAGCCGCTGCCATTGCCACCAACTTGCAGATCAGTACCTTAGCCATCAAATTTACAAGAGGCCCCATCAGGAGAAATACAGGAGGGGCCTGGAGGCTAAATGGATGAGTACCCGTATTTAGAGTGTAACATATTGCAACTCCTGCCTCCTCTCCTCCCCAATCCCAACATGACAGCGGGTGGGACTCCGTCCACATGGCCTCGTCATTCAATCAGTTTCCTGTGAATGAATGCCTACAAGTGCCACCAGCCATTGCAGGTGACGGCTTGCAGTTCTCAATGAATTGCGAGGGTGCTGCTGATGATTATCTTGCAGTCCATTGTTCTTCCTACTCTCAAGTAACTGCCTGCCTGTACAAGGTAAGAGGAAGAAAACTTACTTATGCAGGCCATAGATGGGTCGAACATCAGCCGATTTTTCGAATGATAAATGAAAAATCGGTCGTTTGTTAAGCCGACGTTACCACCAACGATTAAAAAAATCTGCCGACTAAATCATAAAGTTCACCCCATATAACAGCCAAACTTCTGTCCCTTGCAGGTCACGGCTCATGCGCAGATTTTGTATTGTTAAAACGTTCGGCCGATTTGGCCATCATTGCCGGGAAAATCGGCCATTTTTCCAAATCGGCTGCAAATTTTCCAACATGATCGATAATCTCAAAGTACAAAAAGCCTGAAAACCGGCCAACCAATTAACCCACTAACAGTGCGAAAATCAGCCGATTTTTCTTTTGGCCGAAAAATCATCCGATTTTCGAACCGTCTATGGCCGGCATAAGTGTCTGCAGAATCCAGGCATTGCACATGCAATCTGCTGCTCATGGGTGCAATGCCTTACAGCCTGCATTGAAAAAAAACAATAATAATAAATGCATATTTTTTTAACTGCAAAAGGATGTGCATTTATAATTTTTTCTGGAAAAGGTGAACTTATCCTTTAAAGTAGAACTCCAGGAAAAATACATTTTTAATATCTGCTGCATTAACCTCCTTAGCGGTATTCAATTTCAGGGGTAAAATTTCAATACCAAGAGTGGTAACCCCGAACTACCCTCGGGTTTACCATGCGGCGTTGCTCAGGGAGTCCCTGCAGCACTTACCTTGTCCTTCGCTCCCGCGATGTGTCCCCTGCAGCGTCCCCAGCCATCTCCTCCGGCTGATGCCGGCATCCGGCTTCTGCGTTCCGGTCCCTGTGACGTCGGGACGTACGTGCGCCGAAACCGGCGAGAAATTTGAAATTTTAAAAAAATTTCATTTTTGCTGTCATTGCTGTTTCAATGCATTTCACATATATTTTGTCCCTACTGCTTTGTCCTGTGCCCTGCCTGCATTTTGACTGTTCTTTCTGCCTGGAAACTTAGAAAAGTCCATGGCGTCCAAAAAAGCGTCCCTTTACGTCAAAAGCGGGTATAGAACAGCGATAGTAAATCAGAACCACTTGCAGAATTGAGTGATAATGATTCGTAGGGAAATTCATCATCAGACACTGAAAACGATTTTGCGACTTTGCTCAGCGATGTGCGAATTTGCCTCCGTATATCAAATTTCAGTTTTTTGGTTTGATTATATTATTGAATTAAATTTATTATTATTATATTATTATTTTTTATGATTATTTATTAAATTATAATTTATGATTTCTTGTTTCAAGTTTTATCATACCCGGGATGTTTACTAGACTCTTGTTCGGACAGATTTCAGTGAGTTATTCCTAAAAATTACAGCCTACAATATAAAAAACGACATATTTCCATGCAAAAAAATGGTACCGCTTTCAGCACAAAAAATCGGAAAGAATCATACCGCCAAGGAGGTTAAACATTTTATATGAAGATCACTTCTAATAATTTTTTTATAATATTAGCCCAAAGCCAATATTACCACTAAAAAAAGAACATTCTCTCTTGCCAGAGTATGTACTGTCTGGAGCTATCCAATGTGCTGAAATATTTTACTGTAAATATAGAAGCAAAAGTTCCAACCTGCGATTAGCACTTGTGTGCAGATCAGGACCTTAGCCATTAAAATTACAAGAGACCCCAGCAGGAGCAAACACAGGAGCGGCCTGGAGGCTTAAAGAAGAACTCTAGCAATAAAAACATTTTTAATATTTGCTGGCACACAAGCATGACACTTCCTGGAACTTGATTTTTTTTTTTTTTTACAATTTACCATTTCACTGAGCGCTAATAGTGCAGCATTCATTATACTTGTTGTGCTCCAACACCCCAACTATGGGTCTTCTACACAGCAGCCATAGCATAGTTTACAGCTGCCCTGCCCAGCCCTCCTCTCCCCTCGTCCTATCACTGAACATTCTGTAAACCCATTCACAAAATCCAAGCTTGCTGTGTATGGGCAGGGGGAAAGAATGGCAAGCAGAGCAACTGCTGTGTAGAAGAGATGTATCTCCCCTCTTAGAACACCAGAGTACAGCAAAAGCTGTAAGATCCAGGAGGTGGCATACACCTTCTTGCACACCAGTGGATTTTAAATGCTTATTTTAATGCTCTCTTTTTACATAGTTACATAGTTAGTCTGGCTGAAAAAAGACAAAATTCCAGTTCAACCATAAAAAAAAAAATTATAATCCTATGCCCACAGTTGATCCAGAGGAAGGCAAAAAACCCAGCAAAGCATGATCCAATTTGCTCCTGAAGGGGAAAAAATTCCTTCCTGATCCCCCCGAGAGGCAATCCTGGATATTTCCTGGATCAACTTTAGCTATAAATGTTAGTATCCAGTTATATTCTGTGTATCTAAGAAACAATCCAGGCCTTTATTAAAGCAATCCACTGAGCTGGCCAGAACTAACTCTTGAGGGAGTCTATTCCACATTTTCACAGCTCTTACTTTGAAGAAACCTTTCCGTATTTGGAGGCAAAATCTCTTTTCCTCCAGATGTAAAGAGTGCCCCCTTGTCCTCTGTGATGACCTCAGGGTGACTAACTCTACCCCGAGTTCACTATATGAACCACTGATGTATTTATACATGTTGATCATATGCCCCCTTAATCTCCTCTTTTCAAGAGAGAATAAATTCAGTTCCTCTAATCTTTCCTCATAGCTGAGCTCCTCTATGCCTCTTATCAGTTTGGTTGCCCTTCTCTGTACTTTCTCCAGTTCCCCAATGTTCTTTTTGTGAATTGGTACCCAAAACTGAACTGCATATTCCAGATGAGGTGTTACTAATGATTTGTACCGGGGTAATATGATATCTCTCTCTGGAGTCTATACCTCTTAAAACAAGAGAGGATTTTGCTCCTGGAATTCTCACATACTAAAACAAACACGCTACAGAGCTAAAAGTATCTCGTTAATGGGAGGGAGAATTACATGGCTTAGTCTAGCTAATAAAAATGCTCATATAGCTTACCTTTACAGCAACGATGTACAAAGGAGGACTTCTGATGGCACATGGCAAGCCTTCCAGATGGCAGGCTGTAAAAGCAGGATTCTGTGCTGGCTCTCAGTCATGCAGGTCTGCTGTGCTGGTTCTCAGTCCTGTAGATCTAGTTTGGTGGCTCCCAGTTCTGTACATCTGCTGTGCTGGCTCTCAGTCCTGTAGATTGCCTGTGCTGGCTCTCAGTCCTGTAGATTTCCTGTGCTGGCTCTCAGTCCTGTAGATTTCCTGTGCTGGCTCTCAGTCCTGCAGATTTCCTGTGCTGGCTCTCAGTCCTGTAGATCTCCTGTGCTGGCTCTCAGTCCTGTAGATCTCCTGTGCTGGCTCTCAGTCCTGTAGATCTCCTGTGCTGGCTCTCAGTCCTGTAGATCTAGTTTGGTGGCTCTCAGTCCTGTAGATCTCCTGTGCTGGCTCTCAGTCCTGTAGATCTCCTGTGCTGGCTCTCAGTCCTGTAGATCTCCTGTGCTGGCTCTCAGTCCTGTAGATCTAGTTTGGTGGCTCTCAGTCCTGCAGGACTCCTGTGCTGGCTCTCAGTCCTGTAGATCTAGCTTGGTGGCTCTCAGTCTTGTAGATCTCCTGTGCTGGCTCTCAGTCTTGTAGATCTCCTGTGCTGGCTCTCAGTCCTGTAGATCTCCTGTGCTGGCTCTCAGTCCTGTAGATCTCCTGTCTCCAGTCCAGTAGATCTCCTGTGCTGGCTCTCAGTCATGCAGGTCTCCTGTGCTGGCTCTCAGTCCTGTAGAACTAGTTTGGTGGCTCTCAGTCCTGTACATCTAGTGCAGAGGTCTCCAATTTTTTTAAACAAACGACTAGTTTACTGTCCTTAAGGCTTCTGGGGACAGTGTCCATTTTAAGTAGAAAATGTCCCAGCATTCGTGGGAGTAAACAATGCCCCATCATTGGTTTTACCAGGAGGAATAACGTCCCATTGTTGGTTTTAGTAGGATTAGTGCTCCATCATTGGTATCAATGTGAGGAATTGTACCCATCATTGGTGTCAGTGGGAGGAATAGTGTCCCATTTCTGGTTATAGCCAAAGGAATAGTCCTCCATGGTTGGCATCAATGAGAGAAATAGTGCCCCATCAATGGTGTCAGTGGAAGGAGCAGTGCTCAATAACTGGTCTTGGTAGAAGGAACAGTGCCCCATCGATGATGTCAGTAGGAAGAATATAGTGCCCTATCATTGGTCTTAACAGGAGGAATACTCTGACTCTCACTTCTGTAGATCTGTTGTGCTGACTCTCGCTTCTGTAGATCTGCTGCGCTGACTCTCGCTTCTGTAGATCTGCTGCGCTGACTCTCGCTTCTGTAGATCTGCTGTGCTGACTCTCACTTCTGTAGATCTGATGTTCTGACTCTCGCTTCTGTAGATCTTCTGTGCTGACTCTCGCTTGTGTAGATCTGCTGTGCTGACTCTCGCTTCTGTAGATCTGCTGTGCTGACTCTCGCTTCTGTAGATCTGCTGTGCTGACTCTCACTTCTGTAGATCTGCTGTGCTGACTCTCGCTTCTGTAGATCTGCTGTGCTGACTCTCGCTTCTGTAGATCTGCTGTGCTCACTCTCGCTTCTGTAGATCTGCTGTGCTGACTCTCGCTTCTGTAGATCTGCTGCGCTGACTCTCGCTTCTGTAGATCTGCTGTGCTGACTCTCGCTTCTGTAGATCTGCTGTGCTGACTCTGACTCTACTCTGTAGATCTGCTGTGCTGACTCTAGCTTCTGTAGATCTGCTGTGCTGACTCTCACTTCTGTAGATCTGCTGTGCTGACTCTCGCTTCTGTAGATCTGCTGTGCTGACTCTCGCTTCTGTAGCTTCTGCTGTGCTCACTCTCGCTTCTGTAGATCTGCTGTGCTGACTCTCGCCTTCTGTAGATCTGCTGCGCTGACTCTCGCTTCTGTAGATCTGCTGTGCTGACTCTCGCTTCTGTAGATCTGCTGTGCTGACTCTCGCTTGTGTAGATCTGCTGTGCTGACTCTCGCTTCTGTAGATCTGCTGTGCTGACTCTCGCGCTTCTGTAGATCTGCTGTGCTGACTCTCACTTCTGTAGATCTGCTGTGCTGACTCTCGCTTCTGTAGATCTGCTGTGCTGACTCTCGCTTCTGTAGATCTGCTGTGCACACTCTCGCTTCTGTAGATCTGCTGTGCTGACTCTCGCTTCTGTAGAGATCTGCTGCGCTGACTCTCGCTTCTGTAGATCTGCTGTGCTGACTCTCGCTTCTGTAGATCTGCTGTGCTGACTCTCGCTTCTGTAGATCTGCTGTGCTGACTCTCGCTTCTGTAGATCTGCTGTGCTGACTCTCGCTTCTGTAGATCTGCTGTGCTGACTCTCGCTTCTGTAGATCTGCTGTGCTGACTCTCGCTTCTGTAGATCTGCTGTGCTGACTCTCGCTTCTGTAGATCTGCTGTGCTGACTCTCGCTTCTGTAGATCTGCTGTGCTGACTCTCAGTCCTGTGCAAAGAAAAGGGGACATGGGTGACCATATGACTGAATACTGGAGAACCATAAATCCCCCAGTTCTGGGCCTACTCTTTAGGCTGGTCGTATGATATAGTGGCTTAAAATATAACTAAATGCAACACTTTTTTGTAGTTATGAATAGAGTGGAGAGAGATTAGATCCCCTGTCAGGTTTTTATTCCTGCCTGTGTCCCCGTTATGGATATCCCCCCCTCTCTATTTATCTGGTTTACCATCATCACCAAAAGTGAAAGAAAATCCTAAATATGGGTTGTCTTTAGAAAAGGAATAGAGGTGAAATCTTCCAATGGAGACACTAGCCCTGGTGATGGGGCATAAAGTAAAGGAAAATCTCCCCAGAAACAGGCAGAGGTTCTAACCCTCCCTAGCTCTATCCAGAACAGAGTGCTAGTACACATTTGGCATTATCATCATTCAAAACTGAACACTATTTGAATGCCATGGTGTACTAGGAACCCCTTTATAGCCACATCTACTGGTTTCCAGGAGCTGAGGACATCAGGATAATGTTTTGGGTGATTTGTCCTTCTTAAAAAAAAAAGTTTTGTTAGGAAATGTAATATGTTGCAGAATTTTCCTTTATTATCACCCAATGATCCAGCTGCCAACACGTGTCCTGTCCTTTGGTGACAACACTCACTATATAGTATCAATGGAGGAGCAGAGTTGTCACCCTAGGACAGGAAAGTGTTTAAAGCTGGTCGCACACTATACAATCTGAATGTACAATCTTCAACCTCTCTTCGTACAATCAACTTTAGATTTACCAAAATTATATAATATGAGGACCTACCTAATCTACCCAATCAATCTGCATCCAATCGGGCAGGCCCTTGCACTACATAGCTTTTGATAGATCTAAAGCTGGCCATATGCTATACAAATACAGTTGTACAATCTGCTCTGAATTTACCAAAACTCTGAAATATAAGGATAAATCTAACCAATCTATTAAATTTGTATTCGGTTAGACAGATCCTTGCACTACATAGATTGTACTATCTGGTTGTATAGCGTATGGTCACCTTAAGGACTACAAAACTATCCATCTCTCATCACTTCTATAACAGAGGGGAGGTGTTTTGTAGTCCATGGAGACAGCTGAGAACAATGCTAACTGTGAACAGTGCAGCACATGTAGAAAGCACAGGAATTTATCAGCTCACAAGATCTTTGCAAGATCAACAGGTATATTTTTTGCACTCATCTAACAGAGATAACAAAATGCTTTTAATGGTACATTTAACAGATGGAAAGGTTTGCACAATTCCAGGTCCTGTGCCAAGCAGCTGTCCTGCTGCATAGTAACCACAGGGGGTCACAGGCACCATTCAGAAAACTCAACTCAGTAATGGGAGCACACACACTGCAGTCATGTCTGCAGTCATGGGAGCACACACTGTCTGCAGTCATGGGAGCACACACTGTCTGCAGTCATGGGAGCACACACTGTCTGCAGTCATGGGAGCACACACTGTCTGCAGTCATGGGAGCACACACTGTCTGCAGTCATGGGAGCACACACTGTCTGCAGTCATGGGAGCACACACTGTCTGCAGTCATGGGAGCGTGCGCTGTCTTCAGTCATGGGAGCACACACTGTCTGCAGTGTCTTACACATAAGCAAACCTAGGAGAGAAGGAACACGTCAAACCCCCATCGCACTCTGTATATTTGTCATCCCTGTATAGAAGAATCATGGAAGGCCTACAGATACTGCATCCATCGCTATACCTGCTCTATCTACCCGTATATTATCCATCTCTATACCTGCTCTATCTACCCGTATATTACCCATCTCTATACCTGCTCTATCTGTCCCTCTATTATCCATCTCTATACCTGCTCTATCTATCCATCTATTACCCATCTCTTTACCTGCTCTATCTATCCATCTATTACCCATCTCTATACCTACTCTTATCTATCCCTCTATTACCCATCTCTATCTATACCTGCTCTATCTATCTCATCTATATTATCCATCTCTATACCTGCTCTCTATCTATCCATGCCTGCTCTATTATCCATCTCTATACCTGCTCTATCTATCATCTATTATCCATCTCTATACCTGCTCTATCTATCCATCTATTATCCATCTCTATACCTGCTCTATCTATCCTCTATTATCCATCTCTTTACCTGCTCTATCTATCCATCTATTACCCATCTCTATACCTACTCTATCTGTCTATTATCCATCTCTATACCTGCTCTATATATCCGTCTATTACCCATCTCTATACCTGCTCTATATATCCATCTATTACCCATCTCTATACCTGCTCTATCTATTACCCATCTCTATACCTGCTCTATAGATCCATCTATTACCCATCTCTATACCTGCTCTATATATCCATCTATTACACATCTCTATACCTGCTCTATATATATCCGTCTATTACCCATCTCTATACCTGCTCTATATATCCATCTATTACACATCCATCTCTATACCCTGCTCTACCTATTACCCATCTCTATACCTGCGCTATCTATCCGTCTATTACCCATCTCTATACCTGCTCTATCTATCCGTCTATTACCCATCTCTATACCTGCTCTATATATCCCTCTATTACCCATCTCTATACCTGCTCTCTATCTATCCATCTCTATACCTGCTCTATCTATCAGTCTATTACCCATCTCTATATATGCTCTATTTATCGGTCTATTACCCATCTCTATACCTGCTCTATCTATCCATCTCTATTTACCTGCTCTATCTATTATCTATACCCATTCTATACCTGCTCTATCTATGTCTATTACCCATCTCTATACCTGCTCTTTCTATCCCTCTATTATCCATCTCTATACCTGCTCTATCCGTCTATTTTTCCATTCTCTATACCTGCTCTATTTACCCATCTCTATACCTGCTCTATATATCCCTCTATTACCCTTCTCTATACCTGCTCTATCTATCATCTATTTCCCTCTCTATTACCTGCTCTATCTATCCCTCTTATCCCTTCTCTATACCTGCTCTATATCTATCCATCTCTATACCTGCTCTAGCTATCCATCTATTATCCATTTCTATACCTGCTCTATCTATCCATCTCTATACCTGCTCTATCTATCGTCTATTACCCATCTCTATACCTGCTCTATCTATACGTCTATTACCCATCTCTATACCTGCTCTATCTATACGTCTATTACCCATCTCTATACCTGCTCTAGATATCCCTCTATTACCCATCTCTATGCCTGCTCTATCTATCCATTTCTATACCTGCTCTATCTATCCATCTATTATCAATCTCTATACCTGCTCTATCTATCCGTCTATTACCCACATCTCTATACCTGCTCTATCTATCCGTCTATTACCCATCTCTATACCTGCTCTATATCTATCCCTCTCTATTACCCACTCTCTATACCAGCTCTATATCTATCTATCTCTATTATCCATTCTATACCTGCTCTATCTATCCATCTATTACCCATCTCTATACCTGCTCTATCTATCCCTCTATTACCCATCTCTACCTGCCCTATCTATCCCTCTATTACCCATCTCTCTATACCTGCTCTCTATATATCCCTCTATTACCCATCTCTATACCTGCTCTATCTATCCATCTCTCTATACCTGCTCTATCTATATCCATCTCTATCTCTTACCTGCTCTATCTATCCATCTATTATCCATTTCTATACCTGCTCTATCTATCCGTCTATTACCATGCTCATCTCTATACCTGCTCTATCTATCCGTCTATTACCCATCTCTATACCTGCTCTATATATCCCTCTATTACCCCTATCTCCTATCCTGCTCTATCTATCCATCTCTATACCTGCTCTCTATCCATCCATTACCCATCTCTATATCTGCTCTATTTACCTGTCTATTACCATCTCTATACCTGCTCTATCTATCCATCTCTATTTACCTGCTCTCTATCTATCCATTTCTATACCTGCTCTATCTGTCTATTACCCATCTCTATACCTGCTCTTTCTATCCCTCTATTATCCATCTCTATACCTGCTCTATCTATCCATCTCTATACCTGCTCTCTATCCGTCTATTTTCCATCTCTATACCTGCTCTCTATCTATTTACCCATCTCTATACCTGCTATCTATATATCCCTCTATTACCCTTCTCTATCTCTCTCTGTGGGAGCACACACTGTCTGCAGTCTCTTACACATAAGCAAACCTAGGAGAGAAGGAACACGTCAAACCCCCATCGCACTCTATATTTGTCATCCCTGTATAGAAGAATCATAAGGCCTACAGATACTGCATCCATCTCTATACCTGCTCTATCTACCCGTATTTTTATTATCCATCTCTATACCTGCTCTATATCTATCGTATATTATTACCCATCTCTATACCTGCTCTATCTGTCCCTCTATTATCCATCTCTATACCTGCTCTATCTATCCTTCTATTACCCATCTCTTTACCTGCTCTATCTATCCATCTATTACCCATCTCTATTTCCCTCTATCTCTCCCTCTATTACCCATCTCTATACCTGCTCTATCTATCCATCTATTATCCATCTCTATACCTGCTCTATTATCCTGTCTATTACCCATCTCTATACCTGCTCTATCTATCATCTTATTATCCATCCTGCTATATCCTCCTCTATCTATCATCTATCTCTATACCCATCTCTATACCTGCTCTATCTATCCCTCTATTATCCATCTCTTTTACCTGCTCTATCTATCCATCTCTATACCTACTCTATTATCTCTATATTTCCATCTCTATCTACTCTACTTATCTATTTTCCATCTCTATACTGCTATATATATCCTCTATTACCCATCTCTATACCTGCTCTATATATCCATCTCTATACCATCCCTATCCTCTCTTATACCATTTCTATATCTATTACCCATCTCTATACCTGCTCTATATCCATCTATTACCATCATCTCTATACCTGCTCTATATATCCATCTATTACCATCTCTATACCTGCTCTATATATCCGTCTATTACCCATCTCTATACCTGCTCTATATATCTATCTATTACACATCTCTATACCTACCTGCTCTACCTATTACCCATCTCTATATACCTGCGCTATCTATCCGTCTATTACCCATCTCTATACCTGCTCTATCTATCCGTCTATTACCCATCTCTATACCTGCTCTATATATCCCTCTATTACCCATCTCTATACCTGCTCTATCTATCCATCTCTATACCTGCTCTATCCTCAGCTCTATCTATTACCCATCTCTATATATGCTCTATTTACCGGTCTATTACCCATCTCTATACCTGCTCTATCTATCCATCTCTATTTACCTGCTCTATCTATCCATTTCTATACCTGCTCTATCTGTCTATTACCCATCTCTATACCTGCTCTTTCTATCCCTCTATTATCCATCTCTATTACCTGCTCTATCCGTCTTTTTCCATCTCTATACCTGCTCTATTTACCCATCTCTATACCTGCTCTATATATCCCTCTATTACCCTTCTCTATACCTGTTCTATATCTATCCTTCTCTATACCTGCTCTATCTATCCTTCTCTATACCCTGCTCTATCTATCCATCTCTATACCTGCTCTAGCTATCCATCTATTATCCATTTCTATACCTGCTCTATCTATCCATCTCTATACCTGCTCTATCTATACGTCTATTACCCATCTCTATACCTGCTCTATCTATACGTCTATTACCCATCTCTATACCTGCTCTATCTATACGTCTATTACCCATCTCTATACCTGCTCTAGAGATATCCCTCTATTACCCATCTCTATGCCTGCTCTATCTATCCATTTCTATACCTGCTCTATCTATCCATCTATTATCATCTCTATACCTGCTCTATCTATCCGTCTATTACCCATCTCTATACCTGCTCTATCTATCCCGTCTATTACCCATCTCTATACCTGCTCTATATATCCCTCTATTACCCATCTCTATACCAGCTCTATCTATCTATCTATTATCCCATTTCTATACCTGCTCTATCTATCCATCTATTACCCATCTCTATACCTGCTCTATCTATCCCTCTATTACCCATCTCTATACCTGCCCTATCTATCCCTCTATTACCCATCTCTATACCTGCTCTATATATCCCTCTATTACCCATCTCTATACCTGCTCTATCTATCCATCTCTATACCTGCTCTATCTATCCATCTATCTATCCATCTCTATACCTGCTCTATCTATCCGTCTATTATCCATCTCTATACCTGCTCTATCTATCCCGTCTATTACCCATCTCTATACCTGCTCTATCTATATCCGTCTATTACCCATCTCTATACCTGCTCTATATATATCCCTCTATTACCCATCTCTATACCTGCTCTATCTATCCCCTATTATCCATCTCTATACCTGCTCTATCTATCCGTCTATTACCCATCTCTATATACCTGCTCTATCTATACCTGTCTATTACCCATCTCTATACCTGCTCTATCTATCATCTATTACCTATCTCTATACCTGCTCTATCTATCTCTATTACCCATCTCTATACCTGCTCTATCTATGTCTATCTATACCCATCTCTATACCTGCTCTCCATTTCTATACCTCTATCTATCCCTCTATACCTGCTCTATCTATCCCTCTATTACCCATCTCTATACCTGCTCTATCTATCCATCTCTATACCTGCTCTATCCTCTATTTTCCATCTCTATACCTGCTCTATTTACCCTATTACCCATCTCTATACCTGCTCTATATATCCTCTATTACCCTTCTCTATACCTGCTCTATCTATCCTTCTCTATACCTGCTCTATCTCCTATTCCATCTCTATACCTGCTCTATCTATCCATCTATTATCCCATCTCTATACCTGCTCTATCTATCCATCTCTATACCTGCTCTATCTATCCCGTCTATTACCCATCTCTATACCTGCTCTATCTATCCATCTCTATACCCTCTATTACCCATCTCTATACCTGCTCTATATATCCCTCTATTACCCATCTCTATACCTGCTCTATCTATCCATATATATCCATCTCTATCTATCTACACATTACCCATCTCTATACCTGCTCTATCTATCCGTCTATTACCCATCTCTATACCTGCTCTATCTATCCGTCTATTACCCATCTCTATACCTGCTCTATCTATCCCTCTATTACCCATCTCTATACCTGCTCTAGCTGCTCTATCTATCCTCTATTACCCATATCTATACCTGCTCTATCTATCCCTCTATACCCATCTCTATACCTGCTCTATCCTATCCCCTATTACCCTTCTCTATACCTGCTCTATCTATACCTCTATTACCCATCTCTATACCTGCTCTATCTATCCGTCTATTATCCATCTCTATACCTGCTCTATCTATCCATCTCTATACCTGCTCTATATATCTCCATCTATTACCCATCTTTACTCTATCTCATCTAGGATATCTCCGAGTAGTCTCTCTTCCTCTGCGCAGTACACTCTGTCTGTCTGTCTGTCAATCTCTGCACTATATCTCCAGCTAATAATAAGTACAATCTATATCTATAATCTGTCTCTCTCTATATATATATCATTTAATTTGTGTTTCGCTCTAAAATATCTGATCTCTTTCTTCCTTTTTACAATACCAATCATCCATCCATCCCTCTTCCATTTCTCCTTCATCTCTCTCTGTGTATGTTCAGCAACATGATCCATCTTCATGTACACAATGTCCCTCTCTGTAAGGCTGAGCATAGACAGCTTGTTGTTTTCTGGTTTGGCCAGCGGGTTGAACGAGAAAAAAAACTAAATCTATGAGATTCCTCCATCCACACAGGTGACATGGATGTATGGAGGATTTCACCACCCCCCCCCCCCCCCCCCCCACACACACATACACACGCCTGGCTGGAACATTGCATGGGGCCAGTGCAGGCGGCCATGATCACAAACACACTGACTGGGGCTGATGGACAACATTTCCTGGCTTTGTCCCTCTGATAGAAGTCGGTGAGTGTGATGGGGATCCCCCCTCCCGATGTCGGCCAGTGTATGGGCAGCTTCACAGATCTCTATCTACAACTGCCATCTGTGTGTACAATGTCATCCAGACATCGTGTTTTCTCTCTATATATCTCTCCTATGTCACCGACCCATCCCTGTACAGTACACGCCGTGTGGTCCCTCCAATCCTCCCACACACTCTACAATCTGTTCTACACCACACACTCCCTCCCATCTATAGATCTTCTCCTAGACCAGGACTCTCCAAACTTTCTAAACAGAAGGCCACTTTATTGTCCTTCAGACTTTAGGAGGGCCGGGACTGTAGCCAGCAGGAGTAGAAATTTTCCTGGAATCAGTGGTAGTGCACATGGCCACGTTTGGTATAAGGGAGAGGAATAGTGCCCCATCGTTGGTGTCAGTGGAAGGAATAGTGCCCCATCATTGGTGTCAGTGGAAGGAATAGTGCCCCAACATTGGTGTCAGTGGGAGGGATAGTGCCCCGTCATTGGTGTCAGTGGGAGGGATAGTGCCCCGTCATTGGTGTCAGTGGGAGGAATAGTGCCCCGTCATTGGTGTCAGTGGGAGGAATAGTGTTCCGTCATTGGTGTCAGTGGGAGGAATAGTGCCCCATCATTGGTGTCAGTGGGAGGAATAGTGCCCCGTCATTGGTGTCAGTGGGAGGAATAGTGCCCCATCATTGGTGTCAGTGGGAGGAATAGTGCCCCCATCATTGGTGTCAGTGGGGGGAGGAATAGTGCCCCATCATTGGTATCAGTGGGAGGAATAGTGCCCCATCATTGGTATCAGTGGGAGGAATAGTGCCCCATCATTGGTGTCAGTGGGAGGGATAGTGCCCCATCATTCATGATCGGTGTCAGTGGGAGATATGGTGGCCTATTGTTGATGTAATTCAGCAGAATTGTGTGTGGTATCAGTGAAGGGAATACTGTCCCAATGGCCGGAGAAAGGCAAGCAAAGGGCCTCAGCTTTGTCCTATACCATCTACACAGGTGAAGGCCGGCCTCAGCACCGCGCACACCCACCCATCGCTGCACCGACCCCTTCATACACACGTGGACCAGTTCAGGGAGCCGATCATAGATCGGCCGATGACACGGATCCCGCACACACACAACGATCGGCCGATGACAGGGATCCCGCACACACACAGATCGGCCGATGACAGACACACACGTGTTCCGCTCGATGCTCCCGCTCACACACACACACATAGATCGGACGATGGATCCGATCCCACAGATGGATTGTCTGTTGGTGCCGCCTCCCCTCCGCCAGCGATGAAAAGATGACACAGCGGGCAGCGCTGGGCGCCTTCGGGTCCTCCGCCGCGTTACGTCACGAAGTGGGCGTTACCTCGCCGCGTACAGTACACACGGAGTGGGCGGGTCCTGTCTCTCTGGGTCCTCCCTCTCTGTTGGCCCCTCCCCTGTGCTCGCTGTCACTGTCCTCTCGTCCTCCCTCCTCAGACGGAGCCGGTGGCCGGTAGCGGCGTGTTTTGGCTCCGCGATGGCCGGCAGCCCGAGCTCCCTCCAGACCCAGCTCGGCGTCCCTCCCCGCAGCCAGCTCGCCCTGCCGAGGCTCCATCTCTTCCAGCGGGGCTTGTGCTGATGAGAGGCGCACAGGGCATGAGCCAGCTCCCGGACGCGCCTGACAGCCTAGCCATGGGGGCTCCCCGGCGGAGGAACGGCTGCGGCCCCCGGGCGGTGTGCCTTCTGGCTGTAAGTAGCACCAGCTGTGCCCCTCCTCCTGCACTGCCTGCACCCGTCTTCAGTGCTGCTTACACCCCCCTCTCTGCTGCTTTGCTGCTCCTCTCCTCACCCTGCATCCTCCACTCATCCATGGTGTCACTCTACCATGGGGGAGGTGCCGGGACACCGACACCCGGACCTCTCTGGTGGCATGTTTGTACAGCCAAGGGTGGTAGGTGCTCTTCTCTGGGTCCAATAGTTCCCAGGACCTATGGATCTGATCCCTGGAAATACCTCTGATTGTCTGCTGATCCTCAGAAAAACTCCTCTACCACATAGAACCCAGTGTTGTTCCCTGAACCCTCTCATAAACTGATATTTACAACCCAAAAGGGTCCTTCCAAGTCCAGGGCATGGGTGAAGATGTCCTACTGGGGTCTCAGGGGTTCACTACGCTACATTCCTGTACAGGGGTACAAAGGTCCAGAAGAGTTGTTCCAGACAGAGTCCTCTAGAGGTTCCTGGGGGTTCACAGAGACCTGAAATTATTTTAGGGGCTCCTCTGTGATAAAATGGCTGAGGAAAGCTCTAGATCATCCCTTCTCAGCCAGGGTTCCATGGAATCCATGAACAATTAATTTATGGATTGCTATACCAAAGCCAGATTTAAAACCCCCAAATAGTTATTCTACGTCCAGGATATCAGTGAAGATGGCCTGCTGGGATCTTAAGAGTTCACAACCAGGGGCGGACTGACCATTCGAGCACTCGGGCACTGCCCGAGGGCCCAGGGTCAGTAGGGGGCCCCATGAATGCCCCTGGTACCTTTTTTTATAGGCTTTTTGTGAGTGTCGGCAAGGACATGGGGCCCCATGATCCCCTATTGCCCGGGGGGCCCCATGAGTTGTCAGTCTGCCCCTGTTCACAACACTACATTCCTTTACTCTACAAGGGTAAAAAGGTGGAGAAGAGTTGTTCTAGACAAAGAGTCCTTGGGTTCCTCTAGAGGTTCCAGGGGGTTCACAGAGACCTGAAATTATTTTAGGGCTTCCTCTGGGGTGAAAAGGTTAAGAAAAACTTCTATACACCGCCCCTTCTCAGCCATGGTTCATAGAAGAGTATGTTAGGGGTTTCTCCAATAAATCTAATTTTAAAACTCCCAAACAGGAATTTTTAAGAGGTTTCTGTGGAGGAAAATGGTTGAAAGACTTCTCTAGACCATCATTTCTTAGGATTCCTTTCAGAGGTTCCTTGGGGTTCATGGAGACCTGAAAGTTACTTTAGGGGCTCCTCTGGGGTAAAATGGTTGAGGAAGATCACCGCTTCTCAGCCAAGGTTCCACGGAATCCATGAAAAATTATTTTAGGGACTTTCTATACCAAAGCCAGATTTAAACCCCCAAAGGGTTATTCTAAGTCCAGGTTATCAGTGAAGATGTCCCACTGGGGTCTCAGGAGTTCACAATTCTAAATTTCTTTACTCTACAGCGGTACAAAGATTAAGAAGAGTTGTTCTAGATCATTCTTTCTAAGCCAGGGTTCTTTGGAGTCCTGGGGTTCCTTTAGAGGTTGTTAGGGGTTCCTAGAGGCTTGAAAATTATTTAAGGGGGTTCTGTGAATGAAAATGGTTGGTAAAGGCTTTCCTAGATAACACTCTTAGCGAAGTCTCCTCCAGAGGTTGCTGGGGGTTTCCAGAGACCTGAAAATTATTTTAGGGGCTCCTGTTCAAAATGGTTGAGGAATGCTTCTCCAGGTCATCCCTTCTCAGCCAGGGTTCCATTGAATCCATGAAAAATTAATTTATGGGATTCTATACCAAAGCCAGATTTATAACCATAAAAGGGTTATTCTAAGTCCAGGTTATCAGTCAAGATGCCATATTGGGGTCTCAGGAGTTCACAACATTAAATTCCTTTACTATGGTACAAAAGTTGATTAGAGTTGTTCAGGATCATCCTTTCTATACCAGGGTTCTGTCGAGGTTCTTCTGGTTGTTGGGTGCCACCGGAGATCTGAAAATTATTTTAGGGTTTCCTTTGGGGGAAATAACAGTTGGGCTATTTACCCATTGACCCTCGATGAACTGGTTTTAATAAAGGTTCCTCAAGACCTGAAAAATCTAGGGTGAAAAGTTGTAAAATCGCTGTTCTAGATCATCCTTTCTCAACCAGGGTTCCTTAGAAATCTAGGGTGTCTTCTAAAGTTGCTTGGGGACTCTTGGGCAATGAACAATTTCTGTCTCTCTTAGATTAGTAACCCTTTTGGGCCTTCTGACCAACACTGTAAGAGAGTTGCACAAGTGCGATTGACATTTTACACACTGACAAGTTGATTTTAATAAGGGCTTACCCAAGATCTAAACTTATTCTAGAGGTTACTCTGGGGTAAAAAAGATTAGGGAAGGATGCTTTAGAGTCTAGATCTTGCTTTCTCAACCAGTGTTCCATTGAACCATAGGTTATCTTCTAAGGTTGCATGGGTTTCCTTGAGGAAATGAGCAATTTCTTCCTTAGTTGCCATTTGATACCCATTATTCTCTTTTTTTAGTAATCTGTAAGGAGGCATTTCTTGTACCTACCACATCTGTGATGGGGATCGTCTTTACAGACTACCAGGTTTTCTCATTGACCACTAGCATATGGGAACACTTCACTGAACACCAACATTTTCACAGTCTGGGTTTCTTTTGCTTGACATTGCTTTTATAAATGTTTGTTTCATTTTGTTATTACTGAATGTTTTTATTGTTTGCAATAGGCCTGATTGTCCAAAACACTAGCATACCATGAAGTGTAGTCATCAGGGTTTTTTTGAGAATTGAAAGGTATTTAAAGTATTCCTCCATGCTAAACAAGTTGGAAAAGGCTGTTCTAGACGGCTGTTCTAGACAATCCTTTCTCACCCAGGGTTTAGTGGGAGCACTAGGGTACCTTCAGAGGTTTCTAGGGGGTTCTTTGATAAATGAGCATTTGACTGTTGTTTTTCTTCCAATATTGTTTTTCATTTCATGACTAGTACTGAAAATATTTTTGTTATGCAGAGCAGGGGTGGGGGGTTATTGAAACGCTATCCTTCCTGGGGGTCAAATACTCTAGGTATGCCACGATCTTTGTTCCCCCCCCCTTTTATATTTATTTATATTCATATATATATATATATATTATATATATATATATATATATATATATATATATATATATATATATATATAATTCACAACTTTCTACAGCTCACTGACCATGTTAATATACCATGAGCTGTAGATCTAATAGATTTAGCAAGGGGTCCCTGAAACCTCAAAACTTTTTTTTTTTTTTTTTTTTTAACGGGTTCTTCCAGGGTAAAACGTTTGAGATAGGCAGCTCTATATTGAACATGATGCGAAGTTACAGTATATATCTACAGTCTCATGAAAACTATGTTAGCACCTTGGAAGCTGTGCTGAGGGTGCCATTCAAATCTATGCAAATTAATTGAGAACTGCAGTCAGATTCTGGGATTATCTACCGAGGTTAATGAGAGTGGAGGATGTATTTTAATGTTGTCTGATCTCTTTGTGTAGAGAAATGCCAAAACGTAATACAGTGCCTTTTTAAAGAGTATTCATACCCCTTAATTTCTGCATTTTGTCATGTTGCAACCAAAAACGTAAATTTATTTTATGGGATTTTATGTGATAGACCAACACAAAGTGGCACATAATTGTCAAGTGGAAGGGAAATG